CCTGTGTGGTAGCAGCAGAACACTTTCGCAGATGGTCACGCGTGCAATGCGGTCGTGGTCGGTCGTGCATGAGGTGTCCACTGAGACATCACTTTGCGGTACTCGATTTCATCTAGATGGCAGTTGATGCTGCTAAGGCCGTATCCAAGTGCCTGGCTGAAGCTACTAAAACTTTCTCGGACTTACCTCAGCCCTTTGCCGATAATTCTATTGGAAATAGAAAAAAAAACTGAAAACAGTAGTACGCAAGAAGTTGTGAGACAACTCAATTTTATTCGAACGAAATCTGCGTATTAAATTTCTCTTCGCTGAGTTTTTACAAATGCTGAACTAGGGGAGTTATATGTCACTAATACCTTTCCAAACTCTCAAGACAGCAAAATCGCATAAACGTCAAAGCCCTCCACTCAATTTTCATCCAAGCATATACTTGGAGAGGCTTTTCTAAAGTTGTACCTGAATGTGGCAATTATGTGCGCTTTTTATGTTGTGCTCCATTTAAAAAATCATCGCGCACTACACCACCTCGAATTTAGCCATACTTCTACTTCTTGAGGGCTTCAATCATTCCTACCACTCCAATGATTCGTGGTTGTCGCATCAAAAGACGATTATCTAGTTTCTTATATACCAATCAATCCATACAGAAATCTCTCTTTTGCGATTCTTTCAAGTTCCTTCTTTCGCCTCGGGTATGGATGAATGCAGAATTTACTCCTGCTTGAAGTGTCAAATGTTGTAAATCACTTGGCAGGTCAGATTGAGTCCCCAACTCATTATCTTTCTTAGGATACAAGAACGTAAGAAATAATGATTGAAAGCGATCTAGTGTATCCTTGTAATAGTTTCAGTTGAGAATGTCGAAGCTTGCGTACTAGATTATGCCGTTTGAGTTAGCGTAATTTATCCATTCACTAATGTACGAATGATATGATGAAATATTTTGCTGAAGCAATGAAAATTTGAGGCCAATCCAATATATAACAACAATTTCTCGCATTCAACGCGTGATTGGTCATCACTCGTACGGACTTCACCTTCAACACCCTCTCCCATGGTTCTGCAGCAGCATGGAAGGCAAAATTTTCTAAATTGTGGACAATGGAATTCCATTTTCACTAGCGACGGTGGTAACGTTCTGAGGGCACGCTCACGACAAATGGTGATTTTTAGTAAGATAACTTTCCTTTTTTAATTTTTTTTCTATTCGTCGATGTCTCGACACAGTTCCCTCATTACAGGTCAGGTGCTGACGTGTTGTATATATATATATATATATATATATATATATATATATATATATATATAATATATATATATATATATACATATATATATATATATATACATGGAACAAATATATACATAATTATATATAACAAGTTATAAATATAATTATATATATGTATATATATATAATGTATATATTATATATATATATATATATACATGGAACAAGTTCTTATTTTAGGCACCTCTGAGTGCTCAAGTTCTCACACAAAGTCTACCGCAGTATCGCTCTCAACGACATGTCCAAACGAGTGAATCTGTTGACACTATGCCACTGCTATACCATTCATCTCAGTCTTATGAAAGCTCAAGTCGTTGGCCGAGAGCAATTTATGAGAACAACGAATTTCTAGCCGAAAAATATGTTGATCGAGGCAAATTTCAATCATACAACTCGGTATGCACTTTTTGCTCCTACCTTGTACTTCGAAAATTCTTCAACTTATGCATTTAAAAAAAGCATTCTTAAGGACCTCTCGTTTATGGGAGAAAAGAGAGCCAAGTGAAGTAATAGTCACAATAAATCAATAAATTATATTGTAGATTATTATTACTGTATGATTATATATTCCTAGTGAAATAGGATTTCTTACCAGAAAAGGAAAAAATAAATGATGGTTTTGGAAGCGCAGAAAAGGGGAAACAAAATTCTTTGAATACTCGAGCAAACCTGTTGAACGTTGATTGCTGATAAATGCGATAGAGATATTTCGAAGAAGAGTGATGGCAAAGCAGTGGCCTCGGTGGCGTGGTGGGTAGCACGCACCTCCCGTATGAATGTTACGCGAGCTCAACTCCCATATGAAGTCTAAGTTTTGCTTAACTCTCAGTTCCTCAAAGCGTATATCACAACACTGCGAAGAAGCAGTAAAAAGAAAGAAATCCAAAAATCGTTTAAGTTCGGACCATCGACAAATCTGTGGGATTTGCTGTCGTCTCCGTGTTCCGGTGTTGAGCGCAGTGGTGGTGATTCAACTTCCGGATACTGTAGTTCTACTAGCGAACGTTCGTCTGGAGCTGGTTCACCGCGAGCTAGTGGCACTGGTCAAACACTTTATGATCGTGTTTGTCGCGACCTTGCTGTTTTGCCGCTAAGTATCTAAGCATTATCTCCTCAGTCGTGTTCACTGTCTGAAACAGATATGACAGAAGTCTTAGATACATGTGATTCTATTTAATCTTGTGAATGTACTTTCTGATTAGTTCAACTATTATCTTTGTATTTCGCAACCTGATGCTTGTTCATTTTATATGTCGACCACATTGCTCTTCTAAAGCGCGTCGATTGTCTATATCACGTTTTCAAACATATCGTCTTATTCCTCTTTTCACTTTATAAAGCTCTAGTTCTTGTTGTTAAATCGTTGGCAGCCTTGTTACTTCTTTCGCTAAAGTGTTCTTATTACAATTTCTTTTTTCTTTTATTTGTTTGTGTTCAGTCATTTTACTAATCAGGAACGATGAGTTTTTCATACTTCTTTCAGTTTATCTCCGATCATGTCTAAAGCTAACCAAGTTTGTCATTGATGTCTACTAACCGCTGCTGTTTTCTCATTTTACTATTATTTCTTTGGCATCACTCAATATAGGTGTTCGAAGGATAATGTCATTATATTACTGCTGTTTTGCTGGTTCTACGTAGGACCAAATTACGTGACCATATCGGTGCAAAAATTTTTTATATTTCTACATGAGTTTCTAATGAAATGCGCTCAAGAACTAGCCATACCTGAGGCAAGAATTTTTCCTTATCAGATTTTGATATATTCAAAAATTCGCACAAATTACATGAGATCCTACATTAATGTCGCCATGTTGTATTGCCTTCGGTTGCTGTAGTTTTGTACCGGTGCAAAAGGGGTCCGATGTGCCAATTTCCAGAGTGAATTTTCCCTTATGTATCTGGTTGGCTTGATTTTATCCTGGAATTTCCTGAGGATCACAATGTTGCATCAAAATATATTTACAGAATTTGCGTGAGTTCTGCAAAAATGTGCAGTTTGCACGTAATGATCAACTTGCTAATCTTTTCTTTTGTGTTTCTAGCAATGGTCATTCCTAATAATCTATCTAGCACTGAGCTGGTCTCGACTGCCCATGCTCATATTCGCCTTCAGCCTTCGCCCCCTTCTTATCACCGCATTACGCGTATCGCCATTCACAAACTTTTTTCTTCTTCTTTTTTTGTGTTTTTTTTTTTCTTTTTCTTCTTTTTTGTGTATATTCAGCCTTCGTAGACAATACATGACCGCTTACATAGTTAGTTACTTCAAAATACATTACAATGTTATATTTACTGCCTTTGAATGGTTATATTATCCATTTCTGTGTTGATCAGAATAAACTGATTTCAGTAAATTTTGTTTCTTGTTATAGTTAAAATTCATTATAAGGCGTTCTTGCAGCTAAAAAGTGAAAAAGTATTAGGAAAGAAAGACGGGTTTTTTCGGTTATTCGCGAACAAACGCAGAAACGAATTATCTCTCTGAACAAAGACTTTCCATTGCTCTTTCAGTATCTATTCGAAGACCTAAATCTCTGGTCAATGCGTTACTTGGCCGTTTTTCAAAAAGCTTTTTTCACAACGATTCATGAAAAGAAAAACATTTTTTGACACACGCGTTATTCTCGCAGGATAGGCATTTTCCTCAGACTATTAGTAATCATTCGATAGCGTAGGTTTAGTGTTTCCAACGCTATGCTCAATTTCTGGAAAGACTTGCACTGCTATGTAGCAAGAAAAAAAGATTGATTCGCATAACCGGGCAATTGTTTACCTTCTACTCTATGGGCTGAGGGGGAGGGGGAGGGGGTGTGGGGCTGCCCGCTGTTTTAACACGGCAGTCGATTGATGGTGATTAGCCGGCTCACATGTAAAGTGTGATTTTTGTTATTCGGTTAATAATTGTTTCTCTGCTTCGAAAGGATCTCTGGATGAAACGTATGATCTTGATGCTATAGAAATTTTGTCTGCACGTTAAATTATTAAGGCAAGAGACAGGTGTAGAACGTGACTTAAAAAGCGGTCACATAGCGCACTAGCCAAAGATTTAAGCTTTCGAATGATCACTAACACTCTTACAAAATTTCCTTCTCCACCGAAAGGGCTTATTTCTTCATTAGTTTTCGAATAATCGAAAAAGAACTCAAAGACGTTTGGTGGGTAGCAGTAGGAGACTCATATCCTGTCACTCAAGCCGTCTCGTAGAAAGAGGTACTAGTTTTGTACAGATCGAACATTAATTTTTTTGCCCCAGTCTGCTCTTTTCAAAAGTTTTTTTTTTTATCAAATGCTATGAAATGTGCTGCTAATCCCTATGGAACAGTTAAAGCCGCAAAGCCGCATACCATTTCGACAAGTCATTTGAATGTCTACGTTCGTTCAGATTGCATGATTGTTTAAGGTAGAAAAGACAAGAATTGACTGGTGAACAAAAACACGGCTAAGCGGGAATCAAACCAGCGTTTTATCCAAACCGGAGACGCGTGCTCTACCACCACACCACCGAGGCACATTTGCTCCACCACTCATTCTTCATAATTTCTATGTTAGCTATCAGCTACAAATCTTTAAGAGATTTGGTCGGGTATGCGATTTCGCTTTATGAACCCAGTTGAGCACTACCTCTACACCACCGAGGCAAACTGTTGAAGGTTGGTGGCTGATAGCTAATATAGACTTCTTGAAGAATGAGTGATGGTGCAAATGTGCCTCTGTGGTGTAGTGGTAGAGCACGCGTCCCCGGTATGGATGAATCGTGAGTTCAATTCCCGCCCGAGGCCGTGTTTTTGCTCACCATTCAACTCTTTTAGGTTTATACGAAAAATCATAGCACTGCGAAAAATGCAGGTAAAATGCTAGAGTTTTCGAGCAGAAAAGACATTGAACGAACATTTTATCCAGATTTTCTCCTTTCCTCCTCTGCGTAGAATAACGGTGGAAGGAAGTCTCCAAATTTTCAGTACAGGCAGTTGCTAGCCGTCGTAGATTGTTGTTCCGTATCGTAGTTTCCGTCTATGATGTCAGGCGACAACCATTCCTCATAGTGGATCGACTTGTTCGGAGTGACGCGGGAGGTCGAGTTTTCGGAATATTTGTTGGTGTTTAGTCTCCTCTAGCTTTACGAGCGGTTTGAGAAAGATTGCCCTTGATTGGAAGTTATGATGAATAGAAATATGACAGCCTTTGGGCTCCTCTCCTTATTCATCGTAGACGTAGCCTTCAAAGACCTCGAATGCTCTGATGGAAAAAAAGACTGTTGAAAAAGATTTGTCATCACTCACTAAATTTTAACCATTTTTATGAATTATATTGTTCATCTATAAGCAACAAATAGCACTTTTCACGAGCTGCGGGTTAGAGAATAAAACAAATGGAGACTTCTAGAAAATCTCGCCTATGTCTCTGATATTCGCTATAATTCATTCGATAAGCGAAGGTATCCAGGATTATTTTTATGATTATCACACGATTACTGATTAGCGTACCAAGTGCGCTTTATGAGATGTTGACCAAGATTTCCTCAGATACTCAAGAAATTTGTCTTTATAAACTTATAAACTCATAACATGATTTCTTTTTGAATGACAATTTTTCACTATTCAAATTCCTTTTTTTCTTCTGGAGGTCAAATACCTGCCGCAGGATAATCCCGGTCCTTCATGGAGTACAGTACCATGCTGCGTGAAACGCAGGTAAGCTTGCAGCTTCAGAGTATATCTTTTACAGTGCAGCGATGGTACTCGTATCTGGATATTCTGCTGGGAATGTCGAACTCAATCTGTTTGTGTACAGTAAATTGATGATTGCTTGAATATCTGCTGTAATTAGCCATCTAGTAACATCCCCTTAATATTGTCTGCTTTACATCTGATTTTATAATAATACATTGACATATGGGCATAAAAAGAGACAAGCACACTTAAGAAGATGGATACTGCTGGTAAAAAGATAATCAACGTGTAAACATTCTGCTCTAATTACATAAGACATACTATCTCACTAAACCATAGACACGTAGTCTGGTGAGCTATTTGATGAGAATGGAGCACTTGTATGTTACATTTTCTAATTGTACTTTTTACCTCATGAGCAGCAGAAGTCTCGTCGATTGGTGGTATGTGCTAGATGTGACAAACTTGAAAGACAGGTAGGCGTGGTTTCACCTAATTCAAGGGGCCGTAGGCAGCATTCTCCGTTATCACTTTATTGAATAGTCAAAAAAATTCGCGGGCTTTTTCGTTTTAGTTGATTATTTTCCATGCATTCAAGTTTTTGTTTTTGCTATTGTTCAGAGCAGCTTGTTGCGGTCACTTTGATATGTAATACTTGAGCATTTGTTGTGGACGTTCAATGAACATGGCGAAAAACATGAAGAAGGAAATAGACAGAGGGAGAGCAGCATGGACCGCATCCGCGCTTCCCAAAAAAAGCCACCAACCAGATAGCAAATCCCAAATTCCGCGCTTACCCTTTCGACTCTACAGTCTTCCCAGCGCTCTGTTCAATGCGGTAGTGACGTGGGCTAATACCTCGGCCACTTCAAAACTACTGCGAACAACTCACAGAGCTCTCGAACGATGTCTCCTACGATTTAGTCGGCTCTCACAACATCTGGCCGGCTTGCATAGCTCAGGTCTCCAAATTTTGTTTTATCTTCGTGACCTAGAAGAATTTACATTGATAGCAAAACACAGATGGGCCGCTCATATAGTAAGAAGATTACACGACAGATGGACAAAGCGAACTGTAGGCGAGGACTCCACTTGATTACACCCGACTCCGAAGAAGACCATTCACGCGTTGGGTGGACGTGTTTATTAGAAGAAGTAGTCAGCTGTATTCGCATCTGCCGATAATTCACAGAGCACACTAAGAAACTCGCGCTAGCCGCCATGTTTAAATCAGACCACTACCACCATGGACGACAACCGCTAGAATAAGAGACGAGTGGAAAATGTGCTGGAGTTAGCACGATTCGTCAAGAAGCACGGTCTAAGTATCCAAGCAAGCAAATAAATAAGTAAGTAGGCATTTGTCATAAGATGGAACTGTCACAAGGGCAAAAACGATTGTTGACTCTACTCGAATATCGTTTGGGTCTAATTGTTGCTTAGACACGCAACGATACTGTATAGTACCAACAATCGTTTTTGTTCTCGGGACAACTCTATCTTAAAACAAATGCATAAGTGTTATAGAGCAAAATAATCGAAAAAAACTGCTCTGAACGATCGTAATAACAAAGACTCCAATACATGAAAGTGATCGGTAAATATAAGGGAGTCCGGAAAATTTATCGCCAACCTATTATTTGCTTAAACAGAGCTCTAAAAACCTCTAATTCCTTCTCAATGTTCTACCGTAAGTAGTAAAATTCATTAACTTCTCTCTCATCACGCATACAATTAACCAGTGTTGAATTGCCGCTCACCACTATTCTAATTAATGATGCAATAGAACCATTGCTATTTTTACAAATATTCTCTATTAGTTTATCTCGTTTCAAACTTCATTCGATTGTGGTTGACTTGATTGTCCCTTAATAACGGAGAGCATTTCTAGAAATTTCCAAAAAGTTGCCACAGGCTGTAGCCGGATTTTCTAGTTTGAAGGGAAGCTTCTCCAACGAGTTTCATAGTGATTTGTTAATCACGAGTTTATGGAAGTCTTGCTTGTTCTAAAGCGGGCATCAGTCACATGACAAAATTTTAGGTTCCTTTGGATCAATAGTTTAAGCTCATGGAATCGACTGTTTTTGAAACCTCGCAATAAACATTCAGATTAATTTAAAAGAAAGAATGTTTAGGGCCTAAGCGAGGTTGGTACGCCAGGGCCATACACCGGTGCTTCGGAGGTCTCGCTCTCCTCGTCACTGATCCACGCCTCACATTAAGCCCTGCACTGTAGCAAGTATGAAAGCGTATGTGGTGACGGCACAGTGTGCAATGACACGGGTTCATCACCACTTCTCAGTCGAAGAATCTCGGCTGGTAGAACGAAATTGATCCACGGCATCGACTCTTTTTAAAACCTCGCAATACACATTCAATATACTCAAAAAGAAACACTTTCATTGTACACTGTGCTGTCACCACATACGCCTCCCTCCTTGCTGCAGTGCAAGGCTTGATGTGGGGCGTGGGTCACTGACGAGGAGGGCGAGACCCCCGAAACACCGGTGTAAGGCCCTGGTGTACCAACCTCGCTTAGGCTCTAATCATTCTTTCTTGAAATTTTTTTGAAAGTTCAAGCTCAGTTATTAAAGTTGAATTAACACCGAGTCAGAACTTGTGCGCCAATTTTCAGTGAGGCAGTAAGATGGGAAAAACATGGTTGTCATAATCAGCAAAAACAGTTGTCATCTGAGACAAATGGGCTAATTTTTTTACCCCCAGAAAATCTATTAGTTAGGAGACAAGAGTTTTTAGTCTTCAATCCCCATTAACGTGAATGTCTTAAAAACTAAATAAGGTTTCAACAGATTTGCTTTTTGTTAATTAAGTGATTGAATGATTATCTATCACCGCGTCTCTTGAATAGTGATCTGCGTTCAGTTACCGTGCAAATTTGCACGCCGGCAGCCGTGCAAAAACTTAAACATTTTACGGGTGTACTATCATGTCTTTTTACAACTATTACCCAAACTCTTCTAAACACTTCATGGGCATTTTTCTCATATTGTGAACCGAGAACGCCGACTTTAAGCAATTAGTCCGCCGTCCCCATTTTGATTATTGCATATTGAATCATCGATGAGTTCAATGCGTGAGACACCCACGTTGCACTCGGTTGGTTTTCGGCATGTTGAGAAGCTCCATAATATAACACTGAGGAATATCTAGAGATATCATACATTAATTTCTGAGTGTTTTCTTAAGACCACAGCTCAATTTCAATGTGCTAGGTAATCATTTTTTGATCTGCGCATGTCATGTGGTCTGTTAAAAGGCTGACTTTTAGCGATACACGTGTTTTAACCGTGATGGTCTCATCAGCCGGACCGTTCTCGTCTTTAGAAAAATCCTCTCGGGGCGGTTAGTATACTAAGGGTGGGCGACGGGCGAAGATTTTACACTCTATGTCCGGTGAAATTATCACCGAACACACAGTGTTGTGCACTCGATTGCTCTTGAGTGGTATCATTAGTATGTCATACCTTTCTTTTTGGGTGTTTTCTTAAGACCACAGCTCAATTTTAAATATGCCAGCTAATCATTTTTTGATCAATGCATGTGATGTGGTCTGTTATAAGAGCTGACTTACAGAGCCCGATACACGTGTTTCAACCTTGACGGTAGCGCCCCGAGAGGATTGGCAAAAGACGAGAAGGGTACCGCACGACTGATGAGACCGACAAGGTTGAAAACATGTTTGTCGGGCTCTATAGGTCAATGCTTATGACAGACCACATGACATGCGTGGTTTGAAAAAAATGATTATCTGGTATATCTAAAGATAGTCGATTAGACAGTGATTCAAAAAAAAAAAACACAACAAAGCAGTGAATAATTTGATCAAATGCTGGGGTGTATAGCATTTATAGAGCGACAAACATGGAGGTTGGTGAAGTTTGTTTTTCATTTTGAAGAGCTCGTTTGAGAATTGACTTTTCAGTATGATTTCTTCACCCGCTACTATGCGTAAAATTGGGAAATAAGGATTTTGTTAAGAATCACAAGTTTACATTGCTATTATTCGGTTTGTAAGGCTCGCGCATACTTTTCAACCAATAAATGTCGATTAATCGCGGATTGTTGGCTGTTTACCGTTTTTTTTTCTCTCGTCAGGCTTGGTACGTGCAGGAAATGACAATGCCGTTTATATCGCTTTTCTGCTTTCTTTTTACAATCTACACAATGAACAAAGCGTTGGAATTTCGTCAGTCAGTGGTTGAAGCCGAGGATAAAGTAATGGATCTTATCGATGAGGTCTGTTTAGTACTATACATTATTATTTTAAAGTAATTACAACAATTGTGATCACTAGGTGTACAAATATGGCTCCGCGAATTCGCTAAAAATTCTATTTATCTATACATTCTTTATATTAAAAACTTTTTATATGATAGTTTTATAGGGCTTCGAAGATGACAGCTTTTGCACCCATGAGCGCGCCATTTTTTTGATTTGCTATTTTGCAAATTGGATTCGGTAATTCCGAGTTATAATCTGACGGTGGAGAATGCATGTGGCGCAGTGGTCAGAGGTGCTGTGCGTCGCACACGAAGTCAATGGTTCGATCTTGCGCTCATGGCTTAGCAAGCCATCACCCCTACGCGGTCTGTAAATTGGTACCAGACTGGTTTCAGGCTTGTCTGGAAGGATAAGCAGCACTGACTTGGTTCAGCGTGAGGCCACCGCGATACATTGTAGAGGCCAGATATGCATTTAATCACCTCAAACGAAGTTAGAAATTGAAGACGAATGCATGGCGCATGCTTAATGGATTGATCAACACCGAGAGCTTTATCCTTTTATCCTTTTAATCTGACAGTTCAATGTCATGACAGCATGGTGGGTAAGGTAAAACCTCCTAAAACCTTCCATCTCAGCTCTTTTATGACGTTTCTGATCGCATTTGTAACATGGTAACGCAAAATTGCAAAGTGCTTGCCGTTTTGATTTTCTATTATGATTTTGGCAAAAAAATTGTATATCAGTGGTGTCGTTCATTCGAACATTTTCATGCAAACATTTTGATAGTATCTTGCTTGGACTTGCTTCAAGATGGAGCTCGCTCCAAACTTCGTTAATTTGGGGGATCGCTTCAATAACATTCGCTCACTACGCATCATTCGTGCATGAGTAGCAAACGAATTTGTCTCCACAACAGCTCCATCCTAAAGCAAGTATAGACAAATTATATACCAAAATGTTCACAAGAAAATGCGCAATTGAACGATGTCAAAGCCGAGCAATTTCAACTGCTTTTGGCTAATGCATCTGCAAGGTGAATTTCGCGGAAATTGCGTTCTAGGGTACGAATTCGTCATCTTCAAATTTCTGTAAAACTATCAAATAGAATTTCTTGCGCATAAGAACAAAGCAAAACTACTGTACAAAACAAAAGAGAGTACTGTTCTATTATGGCGGGGCTCCACTTAAGACCTTCGGTAAAAACGTATTTTTTGCGTTTGCAAACGTTTCTTTAGTTTGTCGATCTAGAAAACTTATTTTTGGCGCCGTATCAGTCAAAATAAGATTTTGTTTCTCATTCGAAGATTTCTCGTTGGATAAAAGTGGTGCCGATTTATTGTGGCGGCGCCAATTGAGATCTTCGGTAAAGGTGGATTCCTTGCTGTTATCTAACGAATGTATGGTTATTGAAAGCTTAAATTAAGTGAATTCCAAACCTATATTTTAATTCTCGTAATGCTTGTTTTTTACGCCCTACCAGTCAAAATGAGTTCGTATCACATTCAAAGATTTCTCGGCTGATAAAAAGTTTTTTTTTTACCAAAGTTTTAACCATCAGATAGAGCAAATCTTTTTGGTCAAGAAAATGTGTTTGCTGTTTGGAAGTACAGCTGTACACACACCCTAGCCGCCTAGAAGTGCTCTGTGAGTGTAAAACCCAATATTCTTTCGGTCGTTACAAAGCTCGAAGGAGTTCTTTCTGAAGAACAAATATACCATTATAATTGGAAAGATTTTCTCTGTCTAACGATTAAAAACTCATTACAGTAAAACTGTTATCCAGTGAGAAATCTTCGAATGGGAAACAAACTTATTTTAGCTGGTATGGCGCAAAATAAGATATTTGAGAAATTAAACATGCCATTGAAATTCGCTTGATTTGGGCTATCGATAAAATACAGAGACGTTTTGCAAAATCAAAAAGTTTTTGCGGAAGGCCTCAAATGGCGCTGCCACAATAGAATAGTACCAAAAAAAGAATTTGCACACCTTTATTTTCACTATTATTACAGCAAAAAAAAACGGAGTCATATTTGTGCATTTTATAATAAACTCAGTCATGGTAATCTTAACAAACGATGTAGATTCGAACACGAAATCAAGAATTTGGCTTCAATGATTTGATGTTTTGTTGAGAAAGAGTTTTTTCATTCTTGATTTCTGCTCCACCCGTCATCACATTTCGCTGTGTGGATCTTAGTGGATCCCAGCATACGACTGGCTTGCTAAGAGTCATCCTCTACGAAGGTCATCGAATATTTCAAGTGATGCTTCGGATGGCTTGGGGATTTTGTCTTCTTTATGAATGGCAGAGAATGCTGGCTGAGACGTTACTTCTTACAATCTTGGTGGTAGGCGAGATGAGGCTTCCCTTAAGGTGTTGGCTAGTTTCGAAGAAGTGTTGGGTTGGGAGAGGTGATTGAAACATTGCCTGGCTTGTCACTTTTGTCTCGTGGTTCATCGCATTAGCTGCTAGTGTCCTACTCCCTTTCCAATAAATATTTTCAGGCTCTACAAATCATGATCCCAGCTGGTATATGCAAGCATATTTGCAATCCTAACCTGCCAGTGTCAGTCGACCGATCAGACTATAAAGGCAAGTTGATACGTTATTTCAATATAAATTTCTAATGGTAGCAGGCAGAATGCCATGCACTTTTACAGTTTCCGAGTGAACTGCACACTCCGTTTTTTGGATTCAGTTCACTGTTCGTATCATCTAAGCGATCTTTTGAAAAAAGGACAAGTTGATACTCTTAAATGATGTTGAGTGATGTGCAAAATTTTGACTTAGCGGGACTCGAACCCGAATTTCATCCTTTCCGAGGGCGCGTGCTTAACCTATTGCACTACCTGCATCTGTTTTGCCACCACTTATTTTAATCCATAAGAATTCGTTTTACTTGACTGCTTTTAGCGATGTTATAGTGTTGCAAATGCTCTCAATGATGTTGAGTGTTGTGCAAAACTCTGACGTTGATGGGGCTCGAACCTGCTACAAAACCAGTTTTACTACCGCCGTCTGTTTTGCCCCACTCTTTTTGCGCCACATTGCATATAAAACGAATTCATTTTAACCATATATACCCAGTATCGTCAGCGTGACTGGGATCGATGTCGATATGGAATATAATGACAAGCCGATGACAATCGATTGTTGACAGATTGATGCGTTGTAGCGCAAAAAGAATGACGGCAAAAACAGACGTGAGTAGTCCAATTGGTCGAGCACGCGCCTCCAGAAAGGGTGAAGTTCGGGTTCGAGTCCCGCTGACGTCAAAATTTTGTATATTACTCGACATAATCTGGTATATTTGTGATGTAACATTGCTAAAAGCGGTTAAATGAAAAAAGTTCATCGTGACCTTTGTTTATAATAATAGCCGAAAAAATCTACTGGAAGAGAGACAATGCTACACGTCATAGTTCAGTCGACAGCCACTGTGACGTCTTCCTCCTCTACTTCTATGCGTAAGTCGCGAAGGTGCAATAGCAGACCTCGTAAAAGGCTAAATAGAAAGTCTGTAGACTGATATATATTGAAGTTTGATCTTCATCTACTTACCTCTAATTTTAGAATGCCCAAATGTGCATATGTTGAACATATTGACTGAGCTAGAGAAACTACTTGCCTTTCAAACACTCCAGCCTTCACGAACAATTTCCCTAGTTTGAATTCTGGCGAGGACTGACTTCACTGCGCACTGCAACTGTGATACTATGTGTGGTTCTGTGCGTTAATGCATCCGAAATTAGCATTGGTCGAGAAAGGTCAAGAAAAGAAATCTGAAGCCTGAATGACCAAACTGTAGAAGAGATTGGTCTCATCTGTTCAGAAGGCTATTGAAGTATTGAAAGTTCATAGGGCCAATTCAATAATCCGGGATTCTTCTTGGATGAGAAAGTTTTATGATCTTGACCCAGAAGAATTGAATTCCGCGACCTATAGTCGAACCGCAATTCATCTGATCTTCTCATGTGTAAAAAGATTGAAGTACTGTTCAGATGTAATAAAGAGGCAAGGTCATGCCACACAGCAACTCGAATATCCAGAAGATGTATCGATTGCATTGAGGAACGAAGACGAGCTTTACGACCTTTTTGGCGGTTAGCGATAGTTCAATTCTTTTTTGGGTTCATCGCTCATACTTTAGTCTTCTAGATGCAAAAATTTTCTAGATGCAAAAAAATCTTCTAGATGCAGTAAGACCTATGAAATAGTCAGCAGGCAAATTAAACAGCGATCATCTTCAGTTAGACTAATTCTAACATAGCATCGAATCTTCCACTGTGATTCTCTATATTTTCAAAATCGATTTCGTGTAATGTAATGCTTAGAGGTGTTTCTACACAGATTTAGCAAAATCATTACATACTTAAACTGGAGAGTAAACTTGATCTGTAACCAAACAGAAATTTATTGGATAGGCTAAACATACTTCAAAAACTGCGCATTGATGAAAAGCTTTCATACTTCACTTCAAAATGAAATAGCGGAAAGCTGTAGCTAAGGCGGCACTTGAGAACAGAGTTCACATTGGTGTTGCCGTCCGGTAAAAAATTCACGTATTGTTTTCTCTTTTTTCTTCACAATGGATTCACAACTGCGACTTATTATGACGGCTGCGATCTTTTCGCTTAATAGTATGCCAAAATTAATACATAATCCAATAAAGAGTAAAGTGTCAGAAGGTTATTAAAATAATAACTCGTTTAATCTCTATTTTAGCACGTAGAGAAATGAAAGATGTGAAGGTAGAAGTTCAAAGGGCAGTAAATCTTGCAGTGAAAAGTGCTGGGAAACGCAATGAAATCATTATTAAGGAATCACCATCGGTAGATTTTTTTCTAAAATAATTAAGACTAATGGAGAAAGTTATTGGAAATGAAAATTAATCAAAACAGGGTTAACGTTGCAGATCTACAAAAGCTGATATGTAGAATGTGGATAAGGTCTATAGCTAAGAATAACATGACGCTCCCAATAAGAGTAATAGCAAAATATGTAGAATACCGTTCGACACGCCAGGATATAAAAAAATAAGGTGGGCCGCAAACGTTATGCGCTTCAACGACAACCGATGGACGAGAGCCGTTACCGACTGATTCCTCGGGATGTCAGGCGCACTACAGGAAGACCACCAACCCGTTGGTCCGATTTCTTCACCAAAGTTGTAGAAGACAGATATGATGCTCAACGAATCCCTGGAGCGAAGAGGACCCACTGAGCTACTCTTGCACGCGATAGGGAAAAATGGAAGTTTTGCTGGTACCCGCTCGAGTCACTCGACGATCAACGGGACGACAGGTAATACAGGTGATGTAGAATAACTAGAAAAAAAAAAACACGTTATAAGTGTTTTCAAATCTTCTCACACTGACTTGCTTTACAACTGATCGAGAGGTAGTAAACTACCATACAATTTGGTTATATAAAATAACTCGTTAATTGATTGTTAGCATTTTTCTTGAAAAATCGGGAATTTTCCCATGTATGTTGTTGATCCAAATAAAGGAAAAAACAATGAAGTGACTATATGCAAATCAATGTTGCCTTTAGAAAACACAATCGTGTCGTCTAGGCTGTTCATTCAGATGCTTTAATAGGCCATTTTCAGATGTTATGCACATTCACAGCTATTTTTGCATACTCTCCTTGTCTTGCAAATTTGATGGTGCAACTGATCTCTGATATTGCTTTCTTTAAAAAGATTGTATATTCTTTTCCTTTCTCTTCCGATGCTAGTTGAGCATCATTCTTTCTGGGCTCGAGAATACTGACGTAATTATAATAGAGATCTCAGCTACTGCGCATTGGCAAGAATTTTGTTGCCGAAATCTCGAACAGTTGTGCAAGGCAGCATTTCCTGTGGCTTTAGCGAGTTCTGCGACTAGACTCGAAGGATGTGTAGTAATCTAAATTTCGTGACCTCTTGAGCGATCTTTGTTAAACTAGATCCCATATTCCCAACCCATTAGCATTGCTTCAGAAGGCACTAAGACATGTGCACTTTCTAATTTTAGAAACGTGTTTTCAAAACGTCGAAGAGTTGCCAGAATTGCCAGAGGATAAAACTGAAAACGTTATCTACGCCAAAGAGCTCTACGGTTAAAAACAAAAAGGTACTCAGAACACCGCTTCCATTTAAAACGAATAATGGTTTTCATAGATTTTCAAATCGCACTTTTCTAAGCTAAATTACTTATTTTCAACTAAATTACCTAATCATATAGGCAAAAAAAACATCAATAGTTTGCTATTTCAGAAAAACGACGTCATTGTACACTTTGAAGTGAGCTCCTACCAGCTTTTCCTTATCGTGTTGGATTGACATTACTTGGAAAAATTGCTGCTTTAGATTTGTCAGTAGTATAACTATGAAATTTCAGCCCGCACAAGATTCAAAGGCCGTCAAGCGGGATATCAAGTCTCCTGATGTAAGTGCAAGCATCAAACTTATCAAAAATTGACAATATAGAAAGCTATTTTTGAAATACCGAACTAACTTGTAACTGTGGGATGAAACCAGCTATATAGGCATCAATTTTATGATGGATCTGATAGTACACTCCGAGAAATTCATTTGTATAACTTTCCCGCCTGGCATGCTCCTGCTTCCGCTTGAACAGCAAAATCTATGTCCACCCATTTCACTGCACATTTTCTGTGGCACCTAAGAAAGGAGCGGTATTTGGATTTCTGAAGCAGTTACTGGCCAGCTCCAAAAATGTACAGAAGAAGAAATTTTCCACATTAGGAAAAGGGATCGATTGATTCGCGCATTTGAGGGAGTTTTTGAGAATACTCGAACATTTTAACGTCCATATCGGGCGGATTATAGTAAAAGTATCAGCGCATGGAGTATTCAGTAAAGTGGAGTAAAGTGGTGATATTAGAATGTGGAAGGGACTAATTTTACTTTCGACTTCTCAAGAGTACAAATTTCAGCAGACACAAGATTCAAGAAAGGTCAACAAGCAACAAGCCAACTCTCTTGATGTAGGTGCAAACACTAAATTTGTAATTAACAAAAGCTATGAAAAATTCTTTCCAAATAATCTAATTTACTATTCAGTCATGGGACAAAAGCCAACTACGTTATCTTCAATCTTGCAACGGATGTGATAAAACAGACTTTTTTTTTGTTTCCTTTTACACGACCCGCTGCCACATCTTACCGTGCCAATCATTGCACTTTCTGCTCGATTTGTATCCTCGCATTTATCGTCCTAACTATGCTCGATCAATTTCTAGGTTTTTTACTGCTGCTTAGAAATTTAGTGTTCTTCATGAATGCTACGGAGCATTGGTCAAATCAAATCTTCTTGCTTTCTTGAAGATTACCTGGCTAAGACATTCCCGGGTGATTATAAATGGGTGCTGGGGAGAAGAGTCAAAGAAAACACCTTGGTTTCTCACAATTTTTCGACAGGGTGCATCAGAAACCACTCAGTTACCGTTCGTCCATAGAAAAATCACGAGCCCTATGTTTGTGAAGTTTTGTTGTCGCGTTCCTTCCACAGCGTTTTCCATTAAATTGAAGAGGCGTATGTTTTCCGTGGAGCTCAGAGAAGAGCATGTGAAATGGTGTTTTGAGACAGTAATCCGAGTCTTTAGTTTCCAAAAAGAAACTAAAAAAAATTCTGGGCAAGAAGGAGGGGCAGCTAAGTGCTGCTTTTAGATGGTGTTCAATCGTGCATGAGCACTATAGCGTCCGTAGTGTATGGATTGTGTTGAAAATATCAAAGCATGTAACATTTGCAGTGCTCGATTGTTACAGCCTGGGAGAAACTCTTGTTACTTCCGACATCACTAGCACTATAATTTCTAGGTTTCAGCCTGCGGAAGAGTTATGGATGGACCCCAACCAGCATGACAAATCTCTCAATGTAGGTGCCGATACTGAGCTTACAATATAATCAGTTGGGTATCTTCTTTTGTTTAGCGGCTCCGAGGTGTTATTGATATTAATTTATTACATATCAGCGAAGCATATAATAATACAGTTAACAATGCAGCACGAATACTACAACAGTATGTGTTTGCTTACGTTTCGGCAAGATTCGCCATTCTCAGAGCCGCCTAAATGTTTAGGTCTTTCAATTGATCATCGATTTATTCAAGCTACGCCGAGGTTAATACATAGTCGGTTCTGGGATTTATATTCAGTTTTTTTTTACATTCCAATATAACCGGTAATCAAAATTCACTGTGCAGATCGCAGCCCTTCTTGCATTATATTCGTTTCCACATATTCATAATATCGAGAATCCTCGAA